CTACTTTTCCCATCAAAAGAAGTGGAAACTTGTTTGAATGAAATCAGCTAAGCATAACATATCTATATGATATCTAGATTCTAAGCATGGCTAAGCAGTGAGACAGAGAAATTCACCCTTATTTCACTTGATTAGTCAATTTTTTTTCAATTGGTATTTTATTTTACCCAAAGATTTTTTTTTCAGGTTATTTGGTAAGATTCTTGTAGCCACAACCACTAAATGTGAAACTCTTGAGAGTTACACAATACATCAACACTCAGTTTTATCAAGACCAATTATACAACGGAAAAAGCACCTTAGTTGACAGGTCCAGTTTAATGATCGCTGTCAAATGAAGTAGTCTAGCAACGTTGCCCAAAATTTGGAATCCCATTTTAGATAGCATATTGCATCTAGCTGAATGTAGCAAATAATTAGATATCCTTCCATGAGTACAGTGGCAACAGAGAGGTCATTGTTCTTTCATTCCAATTATAATACAGTTCAGCAGAGTCTTTCATAGCTTTTAAGTATCACAGAATGTCTGACATCTGATTAAACTCCCCTCAATGAACTGGTTCATTCTCAAGGAGGAATTGTATTATTTTCTTGACAGAAAACCTACTGTTTAAATTGGAGACCTTAATCACACAATGAGATACAGACACAGGTTTCTCTATGTTTCTTTATTGCATAGTTGCATGCTAGTTTAACAGTTTTAAATCCAGCAGCTAGAAGTTTCCTTACATCAGTAAAAACTGAGGAAAAAGGTCTGTATCCTAGGAGAACAAAAGGCATTCCCTGTTACATATATTGTCTGCAAAGACAATTATTTCAGTAAATTATGATTAGGCAGATAACATACATTAAAATACACAATGTAATAACTGCCACAAAAACAAGATGCACAAAGAAAAAACAAAGATGTGCCAAGAAATACAAGTTAAGACATTCAAAATTAAGGCATTCAAATTTTAATGCAAATACTATTGACTATGAAGTTGAACAGAAAAAGAGACCCTTCCTCAAAAGTAAGCTGTGTAGAATTCCAGTGCTCTAAAACCCAGTAGATTTTCATGAGATCAAAGTAATCTCCATTTCTGTAGCTTTTGAAGCCCAAAGATACACTCCTGTCAGACCTGCTGTAAAAACACTAATGCAAGCCATCCACGCCAGAAGACAACAACAAGAGACTGGTCAGGTATATGTGATGGCGGCATACACCTGAAATGCACTGGTGTGAAAGTTCTGGAATGTAGAAATACGGTTCACTCAAATGCCAAATGAAGTTGTTCCAACTACCAAGCCACCAAGAAAGAGATTTCTGATAAGAGCGACATTTAACAGAAATATCAAAAGGCAACTGGAAGTCACACCAACATGGGTGCAGATCTACTGTCAAAAACTTATACTCCCATTTCAGTAAGCTGTCCTCAAAATTATTTCTATTACAGTCTTTAACTCCTAGTACCTATTGCCACAAGAACGCCTCCCAGTACAGTATTAAGTAATCGAAGTGACTACCATACAAGGATAAACACAAATGTGTGCTTGGACCCTTTCGTATTGTACCATCTAAAAGAAAAGCCTAAAGATTCCTATGCAGACACCTTTCAAATAGAGTTTAATTTAGTTGTGCAAAATGATTACAAGTATCACCTCTAGTCCAACAATCAAATTGTTTTTCTCCCCACACAACTGAGAGAATAAAGCAAAAGAATTATATCCCACCTCCTGTTTTACATACACGTGCAGGGACACAAAATTATTTTTCTTAGAATTATTTTTCTTGAAGTTAGCTTTTGCAAGACCAAAACGTTCATTGTAACATAAAAGTTAAAACAAAAAACAAACCCAAAAAACCTTTCTGTTTATTTCCAGACTGCTAATTTCAATGACAATCCACCCTGCAACTGAGATACTGCCTGCCTTAACCAGAGATGCTAAAACACTAACACATAAATGCAAGACTCAAAAACCAGCAAAATAACTGTAACAGAAAATTCCTGTAAAGCTTATTTTTGTAGTAATTTTTTCTACATTGACCCTCTTTCCAGATATTTGAAACAATCAGTGCTGAAATTGATTAATTTTATGGCAATATACTTAGATGTGAGTTTATATAAATACGTATGGAGTACCTTATTAATTGTATGACTGGATAATATACCTATTCTCTAACAAAACTTAACAAAACTTCCATGCCAATATTTTAACAAAGTAAATCTCTACGAGAATTTTAAATAGATCACTGAAAACAGAAGATAGGCAACATCATCTCTGATGGATGCACGATGGTAAGCACGTTAAGAAGAGATCTACACACCTAGGAAGAAAATTTGGTTCAGC